CAAAATCTCACCACAAGTAAGTTCCCACATTACCTTGTCATGTCATCCATCAAGCTCAAATTTGAACATGATAGCACGCTCTTCGATCTTCTTCTCTTTTGCAAGTCATTCCTTGAGTGCAATTATACGCTCCACCGCTTCCACCTTTATTGATTGGCCGCCACCTTTGCTCTCTCACACAAGTAACAAGCATTGGACCTGCTATATAGATAAAGCACAAACCAAAGTGCACGACAAACAATATAAGGTAGTAAGGCAGCCCTCTTACAAAGTGAATCGAGTAATAACCGAACAACGCAGACGCACACCATTATGTTGCCAAAAAAGAACTTGAGAAGGACTGAAGACAACACCCCACCATGTCCTAGGACACCTAAGTTCCATGACAACACCCTCGGGAGAGGAGAATGGCGCCACCTTTGCTCTGCATTTCTCATCCTCCATGAACTTGAGCTTGTTCCACCTTGTCGCCTTCTCTTCTTTTTGTTCGGCCGTGAAGGCTTTCTTGGTCTGATCAAAGCACAAAGCTATATTTTTAGGCGCTGATGCCTCCATTCTTCTTTCTTTCTTTTGAAACCGTTTGCCATCCAGCCTTACGTGAAGATTTTCATCATCGTCCTCCTCTGCATCAACGGATATGATAATTCTTTGCCCTCTTCGGTGTGATTTCGTAGTTTCTCCGTACTCACTTCTCATTGCCAACTAGCCCTTTGTAGAAATGAAGCAACATGAATGGCTTGCCGCCACCCTTTCTTGTTGCGTTGCGCGTATAGGTCTTGGATGATAGGTCGTACTCATTGATTGACAACCCACTCAATGGTGCAATGTTAATTTGATCAACACAACCAGACCATCGGTCAAATTGCTCTTGTATCACACCCCCACCGGTGGACAAGAGATCCTTGAGTTGAGGTTTGAGGAGTAAATATTTGAGGAGACGTTTGAGAGGCTGAATTTTAGGAGTTCGGTTAGAATTGCCTAAGGCCCTTCTCCTTCAATAGACTGCATTAAGCCTCAATTATTTCTTTCCATTGAGCCCCTTTTCCTTGCAACAAGCTCACCTTGCATATCGGACGGAAATGCATTCCCCCGAGGCCTCAACCTGCTACATATCTATATAGACCACTAGTATGGAACCAGGCTTTGGAGACGATTCCGTATATGGGACGGCGGCGGTTGCCCATTCCACCTCAAAGCTTGTCTCACTAATATTCAGCACCATGGCAACAGCTCCTGGAACAGCCTTCAATGTTTCCAGCGTGCAGGTTATTCCATAAGAACAACCACTTCCCATGAGTTTACAGGCCTAGGCAGTTTCCTCCATATGAACGCCTTCATTACCTTTTTCACTTCCATTTAATATTTCTATTTTATCACCGAGCATGCAAACGAAATTAACAAAAATATACAAACATGATCCAGTCGCCATACAACATTCGTTTCCACAAGCACTTTTCTTTTCATAACACATGCATATAATTGGGGGACATAGCCAAGATGTACAGTTAGACACTTCACACCAAACGTATGAACATGCTTGTAAAATCTACAAACATAAGTCTATTGTGATGTGCTTATACTACGTTGTCATCCCATGTAGTTTACCAGCCGTGCCTCTTCATGCAATCACCACTACATTTTGATAAAAATCTTTTGTGACATGCACAAAATACGCACATTGCTGAAGATGCAGTGGGCCTAACATGTGTATGATTGAATTAAATGAAGTTTACTTCAAATAATTATACCTGCTTTCAGGATCATAACTGCCTCTAGATAAGAAGTTGATCAAACGAATCCAAAAGGCAACAATATTGCTCTGAAAGTAACTTGTTACTCATCGAGAGAATATTCATTGTCTGGATTAGCTAGGTGCAAAAGACATATTTTGTTTAGACCTACTTGAGTTTCATTACACGACGATACATGTTTCATTTAGACATAGTTGGGATTCATTACTCATCGGTATGTGCTCTATAGTAAACAGAGGCAAAGATATAAGTTTCATCATTGGTTAGTAGGCTAGTGCAACACCATAATAGTAACTGTTTGACTAAACTATACATCCAAATAAAAGAAGTACAACCAAAATCCATGGGCGTGAAGGCGTGTCACATTTCAGAGCTCACTATACTGGAGGTCCAGAGAAGGCTCGATGAAGGTCGGTTGGGGCGAATGGGCGGATCTGCCACCATGTCGCCACTAAAGCCGGGGATGTGCGGGTGTAGAGTCGTACCGCTGTGCCGCCACCTTTGCTCTCCACTTCTCATCCTCCATTAACTTGAGCTTGTTCCACCTTGTCGCCTTCTCTTCTTTCTGTCCGATCGTGAATGCTTTCTTGGTCTCAGTCGAAGCACAAAGCTATTGTTTTTAGTCGTCGACGCCTCCATTCTTCTTCCTTACTTTTGAAATTGTTACCCATCCGGCCTTGCATGAGGATTTTCATCCTCCTCCTCCTCCTCCTCTACATTAACAGGTATGGTAATTATTTGCCCTCTTCGGTATGATTTCGTAGTTTCTCTGTACCCACTTCTCATTGCCAACTAGCTCCTTGTAGCAATGAAGCAATATGAATGGCTTATCACCACCCTTTCTTGTGCGTTGTGCGTAAAGGTCTTGGATGATAGGCCCATACTCATTGATTGGCAACCCACTCGGTGGTGCAATGCTGATTTGATCAACACAACTAGACCATCGGTTGAATTGCTCTTGTATCACACCCCCACCAGTGGGCAAGAGATCTTTGAGTTGATGTTTGAGGAGTAAAGGTTTGAGAAGACGTTTGAGGGACTAAATTTTAGAAGTTTGATTAGAAATGCCATAAAGCCCTTCTCCTGCAATAGACTACATTAAGTCTCAATTATTTGTTTCCATTGAGCCCCCTCCTTGCAACGAGCTCAACTTGCATATTGGGCGGAAACGCATTCCCCTAAAGACTCAAGCTGCTACACATCTATATAACCACTAGTACGTAATCGGGCTTTGGAGACGGTTTTTGTACATGGGACGGCGAATCGCACTAGCGAGCGACTTGGGCCGGCCCAACTATGTCGTAACCTTCTAGAGGATTCCCAACCATTTTTTTACTATTTTCGAGAACCTTCTAGAAGTTCCTGGACCGGTTTCTGTTTTTCCTTTCAATTTTTTCTTTTTCCTATTTTTTATTTTATGCCCTTTTCTTTTTTTTCTTGCTTCTTTTCATTTCGTTTTCTTTCATTTTTCCTATTCACGTTTATTTATTTTTTCAACAAAATTTTCTAGAATTTAAAAATGTTTCTATTTTTTCAAATCTGTTCATTTTTTCAGATTTTTTTCCTGTTTTCGAATTTTGTTCGGAAATTCCAAAAAAGGTTTGGTACTTTGAAATTTGTTCACTTGTTTTCAAAAAGTGTTCGAAAATTCATAAAATATTTCAATATCTTAAAATGTTTGCATTTTTTAATTTAGTTCACAAATTCAAAAAATATTCATGGATTTCAGAAAAATGTTCCTATTTTCAAAAATTGTTCATAGATTAAACAAATTAATGTTTCCAAAATTTGTTCGCAAATTTAAAATAATTTCAGGAAATGTTATAATTTACCAATTTTGTTCCTGTTTTCATATTTAGTTCACAAATTCCAAAAAAGTTTTAGTACTCTAAAAAATTCACTTCTTTTCAAAAGATGTTCAAAAATTCATGAAAGATTAAAATTTATTAAAATGTTTACATTTTTTAATTTTTCTCACAAATTCAAAAAATGTTCAGGGATTTCAGAAAATGTTCCTGTTTCCAAAAATTGTTCACAAATATTAAAAAGTGTTAATGTTTCCAAAATTTGTATGCAAATTCAAAAAATACCCGGGAAATATTAGAGTTTATCAATTTTTTTCCTGTTTCAAAAAAAAAATTCCAAAAAAGTTTTAGTACTTTGGAATTTGTTTACTTCTTTTAAAAAATCGAAAACTCATTAAAGACTAAATTTTATTAAAGTGGTTGCATTGTTTTACTTTTCTCAAGTTCAAAAAATGTTCGCGTATTTCAGAAAACGTTTCTGTTTTCAAAAATTGTATACAAATTTAAAAAAAATATGTTTCAAAGAAGTTCTTCGCAAATTGAAAAAATGTTCGGGAAATGTTAGAGTTTATCAATTTTGTTCCTGTTTTAAAAAATATTCGCATTTTGAAAAGGTTGTTCCTAGTTTCAAAAAATGTTCTTGTTTTATATTTTGTTCCTTTTTTACAAAAACAAAATGTTTGAGATTCCCAGAATATGTTCGAGTTTTTAAAAGTTTGTGAGAAATTTTTATAAATGGACGTTTTTTTAAATATATTTACTTTTTTGAAAAAGAAAACCACGTTCAAATTTTTTTTAAAGTTTATTTTCTTTCGCCGCGTATAGTTCATATAAAATGAGCTGGCATTTTAGACAAACAAGTCTGAACACAATCAGCTAACTGGTTCACTCGCTAGAAGTCGTGTGTTCAATCCCTCACGGAAATTTTTGGGAATTTTTTGCGAGTTGTTCTTTATATTTTAGAGATAGTATTGTCAAATTAAAACACACTTTTTTTCCGCATCAAATTAAACCGCACTTCTGAAACTCTTACAGACTTCGAATCGGTAAATGATATTTTAAAACTCATCAGAGACATGCTTGCGAGCTCTCGATGTTAACTAGGTATGTCCAATAACTTTCTAGGGGGAAATTAATAAATGGTATTATAAAACTGATGTGTTTGCATAAGCATTTACAAAGCAGTAACATCTACCAGGCATTTACATTACTTCTGCATGAGCAATCTACTTTCCACACAAGGAAAAAGAAGAAAATGGTAGAAAAATAATTGTGTAAAGCTAAAAACTTGTCTTGTCTCTCCTAATAGCAAGAATCACTTGTCATGGGCCAACTATAGGTAGCCACGTTAGCGGAAAACATTAACTGACAAGAGAGCCTTCACGCACCGTATATGTGGCCTCAACTCCACTTGCAATCAAGTCTTTTTTTTGTCCAAGTCAAGTCAATGTGTCGCAATCTCGCGATCCATGGCGGCAATCGATTTGTCAACCATGTGAACATTGTACTGCTGGTACACCCTTGCCCTGTTCCCCTGCCACCATTGTTCTGCCTGTTTCTCACTGAACCTCTTCCGGCTGCATCCACAAAGGCAAATAATGAAATGATGAACCAACTCAACATGGATGAGCGACAAGATGAAAGGGTAAAGGAGTCGATGTAAAAATTTCTCTTTTGGATATGATTCGAATGCATTTACCTGAACCGAACTCGCTTGAGATCTCTGGCCCCTCCAGGCAAGGCAGTGAGAGTGATATAGACACCTGGTTCGTCTTGCTCTACCCATTCGGCCTCATGGTTGGATTCTGCATCGGGTGGTACACTTCCATTATTGGTCATTTCTGGATGGCCTGCCTTGTTCCTAACAGAACTTGATCCATTAGGAACAAGCAATCCATTAGGATCATCTGAAATTTGTTCTTGTTCTCCGGAACTTCCTGGGCTGCCCAAACTTTCGGTGACTATGGCTGATATGTCACTTGGTATAGGAATTCCAGGAAGGGGTGGTAGCTTGCCGTTCTTGGCTACTCCTCCAGGTAACCTCTCGGCCATCCCCTTCAACTATCATGGAAGAGAAACTGGCAACACTTAGACAATAGCGATAAACATGTGGAAGGAGCGACAAGAGCTCTCTCTTCCTAGCAAAAATTAATTTTACCAATTCCGGCTAATTGATACTTGGATAATGTGAGAATGTAACTTTTAATTGATTCTAAATTACTGAGACGGTTAGATTTTGCAGCTATACGAAAAACTATACAATTCAGAGCATACACAACATAAAACATGAGCTAGATATGGATCACAGTTGCAGATATTTCCTTCGTCTACAAGATCCATAATAATAGAGAAATTGATTCTACAGGTTTGTGCATGATAAAAATTCTCGGTGATAAGATAATAGTAATTATAAATTGATTATATGGCCTTGTACGTACATGAAAATGTTGCATATATACAAACAGAATAAGCAATCTTACTTGTACAGTCAGTGACTTGATTACTTCCTTCGCTGCCTTGCACTTTGCGGTTTCCTCCCCGGCAATGGCAATAGCTTCCTTCAATTGCTTAGTAGTTCTCTCCAACTCAAGTTCAAGATTTTGAGACTTCCTAGTAAGATTGTCCACCTGGCAGTGAAGAGCTTTACGCCTTTATATAACAGCAAACAAATCCTCACTTCTAAGAGAACTTTGCTTGATTTTTTGCATGATTGAACTTGAAGAGATAACAGGTAGTATACCTAAGTAGTGTTTAGAACTACTTCCATATTAAATAGATTGATAGCTAGTTAATATAGAATTATCTGGTACAGTTGAACGAGTAATATCTATCATGTTAATGTTAACAAGAGGGTATAACTAAGTACACCATAGAGGCATAGACTCACAGGGGTAAACAGGAACACACTTAATAATGCTGCCTGCTAGCACTAGAAATTTACGCATCTCTGCAACAAGCTAGCTGAAATTCTAGGACACTAACAACAGAGAAAACACAGCATGGTGCGAACCTGGGACTTCAAACTTAGAACTTCTTGAGTTTGGCTATCATTTGTCATCTTGGTGCCATTGATGACACCTCCAGGAGAAGTTAGACTCCTCAAAGTAGGTGTTGGTGTTATAGAACGTGGAGGACTTGACCTTCTTGAAACAGGTGATGTGGCCCTAGAAATAATTCTGGATCCAGGGACAGATGCTGATAAAAACTTTTTTGAAGATCCAAACACAGGATTGAAGGATCTTGAACCGCCATTTGGAACAGGGGACACGCGATTGCTGTTAAATTCGAACTTCTTGTTTTTCTTTGAATATCTACTGTCCATATTCTTAAAAGATTCCATCGAAGATATTCTTGACAATTTAGCATTTGACCTTGTTTCCAGCTCCTCATCAACCGTGTCACTGAATCCCTGTACAACAGCTCCCTGCTTAGCTGAAGAGTACATGTCTGATCCGGGTCCCTTAGTCAGCTTGCTGTAGCAGCTATCACAAACACGATAGGGTTTACTTTGATTTGGTGCCAATGAAGCCTTCAGAGATTTTTTACTGCTACAGGAATGACAAAATACCAAAGCACAATTATAGCAGTTATGACGTTTTCTCCTCAAGTTAAAAGGCTGACGGCATCCTGAGCACATTGATTGATCAACTCCAGATACCCATTTATGAATGCATACTGCTGCAGTGAAATTAGTTCCACAAACAACACTTCTGACTTGCTTATCTTTTAGCGCTTCAACCAACGTAGGAGTATTCTTATCATCAGTATTGCCATGACCTAACCGACCATTTGCACCTTTACCCCATGTGTAGACCTCGGTCTTAGAGGTCAAAACAGCTACATGATAAGCACCACAGGAGATCTCCTCGACAAAGTTTTTGTGTAGCTTTCCTTCAACACGTACAGGAAGCATACCGTCTGCTTGTGGATTTCCAAGTTGACCATATACAGCACTCCCCATTGTGTACACATTTCCTGATGTTGTAAGAGCCATTGTCAATGAATGACCGCAAGCAACCTGACAAAAATTGGGCTCCACCAAAGCAGCCACACATGTCGGGACAAGTCTCGATTCCTTATCACCATGTCCTAAACGGCCTTTATCGCCATCACCCCATGTAAATATCTTGCCAGATGAACAATTGCTAGAGCTTGAATTCCCAACCATGACTTCTACAACTGCAGCAGTGTGCCAAACACCACAAGCAGCCCGCACTGTCCGAAGCCCTTTGAGAGATTCCACTTCCTTGGGTACTGAGAGACTCTCGCGGTCTCCATGGCCTAGAACCCCAAAAGAGCCATCTCCAAATGTGAACAGCTGCCCAGCAGAAGTTACTATCGCTGTATGCCAAGGGCCACATGAAATTGATGAAACATGTATACCCTCCAGTGGCCCATGCAGCTTTTTGGGTACCCATTGACTGACATCATTACCATGGCCCAAAAGCCCAAATTTGAAGGCGCCGTCCCCCCATGTATACAGATCTCCAGATAGTGTAACAGCACAGGTGTGGTATTCACCGCATGCTACCAGCTCAATGTTCATATGAGTAAGAGCATCAATGAGTTTTGGATGTGCCACATCGCAATCTACACCATGACCAAGCCGCCCACCCGATTCCTCACCCCAGGAGTAGATCTCGCCTTGTTTACTGACGAGTGCAGCATGCCTTCCTCCACAAGATATATTCTGCACATCAAGCCGGACAGCAAACTCTAATGGTTTAGGTACAAGACAATCAATTTTTGCACCTGAGGAACTTCCAATTCTTGAGTTACCACCACCAAGAATTCCTTCCCCGGTTCCTTCTCCCCATATTAAAACATCACCTAAAGCGTCACCGTCATCATAACCAGAACCATGACTTGAAGAGCTAACAGCACTTGAATAACTAATCCGGAAAGCATCCATTGGGATACCTCCGGAATTCCCATTTGTGTTATCTGATTGTCCAGAAGACATAGAGTGGACTGATGCTGCATTAGAATCTGATGGGAAGAAGCCCCTGGGGGGAGCTGCATATAACGCAACATCAGAAAAGGCCTTCTCCAAGCCATTCTTTGGTGGGCTCCCATATGGACTACGGAACCGGTAGTTTTCATTGAAATCCTGGTGTACAGCATCTATCAGAACTCATCTTCATGAAGTAATGGTATTATCAACATGATGAAAAAGAAGTATCATCTCGTAGAATTTTGGAAAAAGAATATAATTCAAATTCACATATTCAGACAGGGATAGTAAATGCTACCTTGTGGAGAATGTCACTGCTGCTGAAAGGAGAACTCAACGGAGAACTCTGTCGCGTGAAAGTCCTTGGACTAGTTGCAGCAGACGAAATGGTATCACTTCTTGAGCCAGTTCTCCATTTTCTTTGATGACTTCGTGAAATCAACGTTTTCAGCCCAGCAAACCACACTTCTGCCTCATCTTTGTCTTTACATATCTGACATCATTGAGTCAAATATTACCATGTAAGCATGACACTTGTATAAGCACAAAAGGAAGAGAACGGGCAGAAATAAACATGGAATGTGGACGGCAAACTTACAATGTCCAGTGACCTGTCATGCGAAATTAGAGAAAAGGACTGGCATTCCTTCTCAGGTCGTGGGTACCTCTGAAATATTGCCTAGATTCCAGAAAT